GGAGAAGTGATAAATTAGAAGAGGTCACTCACTTAACTCATCCCTGGTGATTTTACAAGGGAATTAGAGAAAATAAGGGTAATTAGTTTGAAACAAGTCAAAATTTTAAAAATCTAACTGTGTTAAAATAAAATTAAATTAAAGAGCAAACACAAGAAGCTGTTCTTCTAACCTCAATTAAGCACATCTCTGTATCTCCATATCAGTTCACACTGCACATCTGTTCCTTAGAAGCTCTTACCAAAAGATTTTAGACAAAAAAATAATAATAATAAGTTATTTATTTATTTATTTAAATCTTTGCACAGAAAGTCCAAAGGATCTGGGCCAAATTCTAATTTTCACTGGCTGCACAAAAACTTTTAATGACAAAAAAAAAACCCTCCTGCAGAACAGTGTTGTGTCTGCATGACTCCAAACAGACATATCTACCATGTCATGAATGAGTACAGACAGTTCTGAACACTGGGTCACATCACGTACAGCATCTAGTGAACCGACAGCAACTAATGGTAAAAACATTGGAATCAAGCTGCTGTGAGCAGCTAAACTGATAAACACTACAAGTCCCATAAAAACACACCGAAATCCTGACCATGTTTGGGTGCACCGTTTTAAAGCCGTTATAGCAAGTGTCATGAGCATAATCAGTCAGAACTCACAGAACTGATGGATCTCAATTTGCACTAAATTTGCACCTGTATGTAAAAAAATGTTTAACAGCACATTAAGCATGGCTACTCATACACACAACATGTGATTTACCCAGAAATCTACTTTTAATTTTATTCATATTCATTCATCCATTCTTTTTTTGTTTGTTTTTTAAACACGCTTTTCTGTTCCAGGTCACAGACGGTTGGTGTTTATCTCCAGCAGAAATTATGAGCGAGGCAGGGTACATCTTGTGCAGATTGAAAGTCCATCACAGGGACACAAACAGCTATTCATGTCACAATCCTCAGTGTTTAGACTCATAAGCAGGCAGGCGAGCGAGGCAGGAGTTCAAATAAAATAAATTTATTTAAACAACAAAACAAAACGCTGTCAATGCAGCAAAACTTACTCTGGTAAAACACAATCAGGACTGAACAGGACATCAGAGTAAACGGGCAGAGCAGATTGGGTGGACAAAAACAGACAGGGAAGAGGAGGACTGAGATGTCTGAGTGAATACAGAACAATGACCAGACCAGGAGTGAAGGAGAGAAAGACTTTTATAAGACAGAGGGAGAGGGAGTAATGAGAGCAACTGGGCAGGTGGCTGATGAGGGACAGGTGTGAATGGTAAAGACTGAGGACTGGAGAGGCAGACTGAGGAGTGAGTGGAAAGCGACAACAGAATCAGATACAGGGGAACAGAATCACACAAGGGGCAGAATGAAAATTATAAGAAGCAGGACACAAACAGCAGAAGGGGCAGAATGAAATAAACACAATAAGTAGAGAAGGAAAAGACAGAAATACCAGACAGCTAAAGGACAGACTGTGACAATTTGTACTCTCACACACAACTAGGGGTAATGGAGAGTTACTAATTAACCTAACATGATCTGGAATTGGAGTGGGAAAACCCACACATGCGCAGAGAGAGCATGCAAGCAAAGGCCGGGAGGCAAAGCTGTGACCTTCTCAAATGCTATTTTTTTTTATCTTTAAAGATTTTACAAGCTTCTTTTAAACTCTATTCATACACTTATTGCACGTTTTCTTCCTGGAATACAATGCAGGCAAATAACACTAATTAATTCTGTAAGCCTGAAACTTGAAAAACTAAATTGCAAGTCCGATACAATAAAGAGCGCTATAGGAGGACTGATGACGTGAGTTCCACTTGCAGCATGTGCGTCATCATACATGAGATGTGATGGCTGAGGCTAACCATGCTGAGCTTTTCAATCAATATCTCTGCCGCCAGTGAGGCTGGGGGAGCATTAGCACCAGAGCCAAGTAAAGTGACTCTGATGTGGAATGACAGGGGCTTTCACAAAATCTGCCCTGGCGTTTCCCTCCATGTCATCCACATCCACTCACACATAAATAACCTCGAGTGCAGCTACACCCACCTGGCAAACATCACAGCTTTTTGTCAGTTTTGTTTTAAAAAAACAACAACAAAAAAAACAATTGTTGCATTCATATGGAATCACAATAACAAACCTAAATGTCTCTATGATATCCTTTTCCTCTAAAGGTACTCGATGCAAAGTAGGAAATTAAATGTAAAGGATCATGTGGTTTTCCAGATATACTGATGCAAATATTCTGAAATGTGGGCCCACACTCCATGTAAACAAAGCACCTGGCAGAATCAGCCAAAAACCAAAATGGATGCTTGAGTCATGTGACTGATCTAGATTAGGCTACATTAGGATCAAGGAGAAGATACTTATATGGAAAGAGAGTGAATCTGTTGCTAAACTGAAAAGAAAAAAGAAAAATTGAGTAAGAAAACTGTCAAGAATAAATATTGTGGATCAAGAAGAGTGATGGAGCGCCTTGAAGCCAGAGCTCAGCATTCAAGCATGTGGCTTATGCAAATCAGTAGTTCCTAACCCTGGTCCTTGAGGAACACCATCCTGCATGTTTTAGTTGTTTCCCTGCTCCAACACAACTGATTCAGTGATTTAATGACTTCATCAAGTTCTGCAGAAGCCTGTTAATCACCTGTTCATTCAAATCAGGTGTGTCAAAGCAGGAAAACATCTACAACGTGCAGGATGGTGTTCCACAAGGACCACGATTGGGAACCACTGCTCTAGATCAGAGTTTACAGTTTCAGCCTAATCTTTATTTTTATTTGCATATTTTGATCAACAAATCTGAACAAAACAAAATCCATCCATCCATCCATTATCTTTACCCGCTTCTTCCATTTTGGGTCATGGGGGTGCCGGTGCCCATGTTCGGCAATCATTGTGCGAGGGGCAGGGGACACCCTGGACAGGTCGCAAGTCCATCACAGGGCCACATAGATACAAACAACCATTCAGTCTCTCACTCACACCTAGGGACAATTTAGAGTTACCAATCAGCCTAACATGCATGGTTTTGGTCTGTGGGAGGAAACAGGAGTACCCGGAGAAAACCCACGCATGAATGGAGAGAACACGCAAACTCCAACCAGAAAGGCCTCCGGACCGGGATTTGAACCAGGGACCTGCGCTCTACTAGTTGCGCCACCGTGCTGCCCGGAGTTGAACCCAAAAATAGCAAAAAATAAATTGTAAAACACGACAGTATATAAGGATCTAAGATATAAACTAAGTTATACGCTAAAGAATGCCAAACGGTACACTAAAGATCCAAGATACAGTATATGCTACACACTAATAATACCATACCATACCATACCACTTTATTTATAGAGCACTTAAAAGAGCAACAAGGCCAACCAAAGTGCTATACAGTAGAAACAAGCAAGCAAAGCACAGAGCAAAACATAAAATAAAGTAAAATAAAAATATAGATATACGAATAGCAGAAGATAATACCTAAATGGTTAGCACTCAGGTTCAAATCAACTCACACAGTGTCAAAAGCCAGGAAATAAAAGTGGGTTTTAAGCAAGACTTAAAAACTGTGAGGGATGGGGCCTGCCTGACATGCAGTGGTAACTCATTCCACAGTCTTGAACCTGCAACAGAGAAGACCCTGTCACCTTTGAGCTTACAATGGGTTCCTGGAACTGAAAGAAGCATCTGATCTGCTGACCTCAGAGAGCGTGGTATATGATTAGAGGGGGGCAGAACTGTTCAGGGATTTAAAATACATACAGGAGTAATTTGAACTGAATTCGAAGGTGAACCAGTAGCTAGTGCAGGGAGGCCAAAACTGGAGTAATGTGCTATCTTTGGCCTGTACTGGTTAAAAACAGGGCAGCAGCATAATCATGTAATGGAGGTCTGACTGGTTCCAAACAGAAGTGCATTGCAGTAATAGAGCCTATAAGTTATGAATATGTGTATTACTGTCTCAAGGTTGTTTTTGGACAGTATGGGGCTTCAGTTTAGACAGTCTCTTCAGCTGGAAAAAAAAGGATTTAACAATCGTGTTTACATGATTGTTGAGTTTAATGGAAGGGTACATTATCAGAGCACTTTGAGATCCATTGTTAATGTAAAGTGCATTATAAATAAAAGTTATTATTATTATTATTATCACCCCCAGATTTGTGACTCAATAATGTAATACAGCGTAACAACAGCAGCCCGAACATGAGTCTGTGGTGAGCAGATGGGTATGGATGAATACAGCAGCATGAGATCAGCAGCAGCATGAGATCAGCAGCATGGATAATCAGCAGCACAGATAAGTTACATAAGTCACAATCGGTTACGTTGGTTGTTTCTAAATAAACAAACGTCACAATTTTTTACCTTCAAGTTTTTAATTTAAGCACTCGTCACCAACAATATGAGAAAACATTCTGCAAATTGTATTTCTCATTTTTATGAGGTATATTTTATATCAAACCTCATGTGAGACTTATTTTAAACCGGCCTTTGTGCCGTTGCACTGAGTAGCTTTAAGACTTGCCTCATGAAGTAATACCTTTTAGGTAGCTCGGAAAACTACCAGCGTGATTACACTAAACACAAATAAGATAAGAACCGAACAGAAATATATTTTTAAAAAATTAGAAGATCAAAAAAGGTGCTCAACCATGCACGCAAGAAATAAATCTCTTCCAGACTCTAAACCTTTGGGGCATCAGTTGTTTACAACACAACAATGTCTTTAAATTGGGAACTGTATAACAGAAACTATCAAAAATGCATGAAAAGATGGTGATAACTTTTGAAAATGAAACAGTGTTGACTGTGTTGAAACACAACTGAAGACAGAATATCCAGTTTTCTGTTTAAAATGTTTCTAAAATGATGCTCAGCCACCTCAGGCGTCTCATCCAGAGAGAGCAGGTGCTGCAGTGTCATGTCAAACTTGTTTCTTTTTTATGGTGGTGTGTGGGTGGGGAGGACATGTTGAATCATCCCTACCTCTCTCCTCCTGCTCTCAGCCCCGGGTCTGGTGATGAGCGCTGTATCACCGCACACCACGGCCACGTCCTCCACGAACACGCAGTCCGGGAGCGTGTCGTCCGCGGGCAGCTCCACCACCTCCAGCCCGAGCCTCGTCCTCAGCACCTCCACGTACGCGTCGTGCTCCCTCCGCGCCGCATCCAGGTCCACCTCCGCCTCGCTGCTCCGGAGCGCCTCCTGGGCCAGCGACGCGGGGATCCCGCGGACCACCGCGTGGGTGTACTGCCCAAAACCTGCCATCAAGCCAGCCATGATGTCGCGTGCACGCTCAGATCTGTGGAGGGGAGGGTTGTAAAAACACCTTCAGAGACAGATGAGAGAATGAATGAGAGAAGATGCCTGTCTGCTGACCTGATGCTGCCTGTCAGGTTGTTGGGATGTCAGCCGTGGTCCAGTCTCTCGAGGCGAGCGACACGCAGCGCTCCGGTGACGCGCTCCGATCATCACGTGCAGCCTGCGGCTCTGTCCAAGGTTCAGCCCAACAAGTGACAGAACCACGCAGAGCTGATGGATCCTGGACCAGAACCGCCTGAAACTCATGCTTCTGCACGCCACTTTAAAGATTCAGTGAAGCCTCCACCTGCAGTTTGATACCGTATTTATAAATAAACAAATACATACTTAATAACCCCATAAACAGGGATTTATATTTTTTTTGGTTTGTTTTAATAAAAAAAAAATACAATACACGTTCCACGTTCCAGTTTTTTCCAGATATTGTGAATGCAATTCTGAAATGTGGGTCTACACTCATTGTAAATTAAGCTCCACTTGACTCACATGCCTGGACTTATATTCATAAATAATCTGTTGAGGAGAAGATATTTAGGTAATTCAAGAGTGAATCTGCTGCTTAATTCCAAAAAAGGCACAAAAAGGAAGAAATGGATAAAAATGATGGATGGATGGATGGATGGATGGATGGATGGATGGATGGATGGATGGATGGAAAACAAGTTAGATAATTGTCAAGAAAAACAGAGTTTGGCTTTCAAAGTTCTTCTAGATGGGTATTTTAATATTCAGTCCTTTTTTTTTTCTTTTTTTTTTGTCACTTTGGCTGTTTCTGTAAACAAACTCACGTGAGTTGATCTCCAGTCACAAATTCTGCTTAAACATTGTTCATTTAAGGACATATAAACCTCTGATATGAGAACTACAAATTTAGTTGTTGTTTTTTACTTTATTTGCCTATTTCTGTCCAGTTTTTATGTCTTGTTGATGAACACTATAAAAATACTTGACAGAACCAGAATGTGTTTCTGCTTTCACCAACTTCTATTATCCATTCATCCATTTTCTTCCACTTATCTGGGGTTGGGTCGCGGGGGTGGCAGTAGGGAGGCCCAGACTTCCCTCTCCACAGCCACTTGGGCCAGCTCCTCTGGGAGAATCCCGAGGCGTTCCCAGGCCAGCCGAGAAACATAGTCCCTCCAGGGTGTCCTGGGTCTTCCTCTGGGTCTCCTCCTGGTGGGACGTGCCTGGAACACCTCACCAGGGAGGCGTCCAGGAAGCATCCTAATTATGCCCGAGCCACCTCAACTGGCTCCTCTGGATGTGGAGAAGCAGTGGCTCTACTCTGAGTCCCTCCCGGATGACTGAGCTTCTCACCCTATCTCTAAGGGAGAGCCCAGACACCCTGCAGAGAAAACTCATTTTGGCCGCTTGTATCCGTGATCTTGTTCTTTTGGTCACAACCCAAAGCTCATGACCATAGATGAGGGTAGGAACGTAGATCGACCGGTAAATTGAGAGCTTCGCCTTTTGACTCGGCTCTCTCTTCACCACGACAGACCGGTGCAGCGCCTGCTTCACTGCCAACGTTGCACCTATCCACCTATCCATCTATCCATCTCCCGCTCCATTTTTCCCTCATAGATTTCTATTATTGTCGTCTTATTTTTTTAAAGATACCCTTCCAGTTTTCTAAAGGACAGATTAGTTGAGTAAAAGTTACAACTGGCAATTATTTAACGCCACATATCATTCCTGATGCAACCTAGGCTTGAACATACAACCTGAGGATTAAAAGACCACAACCCTGACCACCAAACTGCACTGCTTCCATACCGATACAAAGTAATACATCTAATTGTTGTAAAAAAATGTAATCTTATCTTTTGAAGTGTATAAAGGACTCCAGGTTTACAAGTGAACCTCAGTGAACAATGCAAAGCCAGATGAATATGTCATTTCTGCACGCCTGATTCATGTTGTTGATGCTGTTGGAACAAAATGTTTCAAAAGAATGAAAATAAAGCACAGCTCTATTCTTGAACTCAATATTTAAAAGCTTTGCTCTTGGCAGACTTCAAGAAAGAATGTACACAAACTTCAAGGGCAACGAATATCAAAAGGGTCTTTCTGCTTGTGTGAAGTTTAGGGCAAGTATGAGAGGAATGAGGGCTGGGTGGGGGGCTTCTGTTCCCCACTGTGCCATCTAGGGAAGGTTCTGGGCCCGGTGAAGCTGTCTGAATGGATAGAATGTTTCTTCAAACATCCCAGAAGCACTTTCTTCCACCACAGGACCTGGCTTTGTCTTTTCTTGTTCCACGTTCACTAAATTATCCTCCAAACGTTCCAACACATTCCAAGGAGCCCCAAATTCCACTTTCCCCACTAGCCAAGATCACCAAACACCGGATTCACCCTCCTCCAACCCCCCACTTTTTTCAGTCATCCTTCAGCATGGAATGACCAAGCTCAAGAAAAAAACTCTTTTTTTTTTTTTCCTTTTCACTCCAGGCGGAGGAATTTGCGTTATTTTAGATGAAGGAATGCCCTCATTCTCTGGATGGTGCACCTGGCTGGTACACTGTGCAGCTTTGAAATGAAATCAAGGAAAGCAGACATGATCCTCCAGCTGCACGCTTCCCCCAACAGACTGCATGGACTCATGAGGGTCTAGATGTCTGAGGCTGACAATAAGATTACACAGGTAATATGGGGCATATTTAACTATTAGCAGATGGGTTATTCAACACAAAAAAAATGTAATAACAGTTGAATGACAGAGAGTTTCTGAGATAAAGTTATGACACCTGACTGGGATATGATACAAGAAAAGTGTTCTGCTATAACTGTGATTCAAAGGAAAACCAACAGTTTCCATCCATCCATCCTTCCATCCATCCATCCTTCCATCCATCCATCCATCCATCCATCCATCCATCCATCCATCCATCATCTTTACTTGATTATTCCTTTTCGGGTCACAGAGGTCACTGGTGCCCATGTCCAGCCATCACTGTGCAAGAGGCGGGGTACACCCTGGACAGGTATCCAGTCCATCACAGGGACACATGGAGACAAACGTGACAAACAACCGTTCACTGCACTCACACCTAGGAACAATTTAGTGTTACCAACCAACATGCACATTTTTGGTCTCTGGGAGGAAACCAGAGTACCCAGAGAAAATCCACAAATGCACAGAGAGAACATGCTAACCCCACACAGAAAGGTCCCAGACAGGGATTTGATCCATCAACCTTCTCATTGAGAGGCAACAGCTCTACCAACTGATCCACTGTGCCAATGATGATGTTTTTGGTGGTTTAAACCACCATGATTGTTCAGGTTTATTTGTGTATTTTCTTATGATTTATATTTAAGGGTAAAATAGACATGGCAGAGTGTAGGAATCATAAATTGACTTTTCCACAGGGCGGCTGTGGTTGAGTGGTTAGAGAAGTCATCCTGCAGTGTAAGAGTTGGGGGTTCGATTCACCACTAGTCGCATGCCCAAGTGTCCCTGGGCAAGGCACTGAACCCCTCATTGCCTTCAATGTGTGTCCCATCGATGTACTGTATGAATGTGACAGAGCACTGATTATTACTGTATTAGTATAGATGTAGTAGAGTGCTGTGTGAATTGTCGATTCCTACTGTCAAATCCACCAGCAGTCACATGCTGAAGTGGCCCTGGGCAAGACACTGAACCCCTCATTGCCTCTGATGTGTGTCCCATCAGTGTATGAATGTGATCTAAAAGCACTGATTAGTCTCATTAGAATGATTTGTTCAATTAGCTTTGTAGAGATCTAGTAGAGTGCTGTATGAATGGATAAATGAGGACACAGATTGTAGTGTAAAGCGCTTTGAGTATCTTGAAATAAGATAGAAAGGCGCTATATAAGTGCAGTCCATTTACCATTTACTAATATTTGGGTATCTTGGTCGACTTGAATCTCTCTTTTAAGCTTCACGTGGAAAACCTAGTAAATAAACTGAAAGTTAAATTGGGTTTCTTTTTCAGAAATAGATCCTGTTTCACTGAATTCTAGTAAACACCTTGTAACGGCGATTGACTACAGTGACATTATGTACATGAATGCTGCTTCAAACACCCTGCAGATGTTGGATGCTGTCTATCGTGGTGTGCTAAGATTCATAACTGGCTGTAACTCACTGCACCCTGTATTCACTGGTTATGTCACGATCAGCGGCCCCCGCTGACCCCCCATCAGCCCCTGTCCCACACTCACAGCCCCATCATGTCATGTTTCTGCTCCTCTTTGTCATCATGCTGTTTTTTCTTCTGTCATTAGCCACACACCCCTCTGCACTTTCAGCTCATCAGCCCTGATTACACTCACCTGTTCAGCTCATCTAGTTCACCTGCTCTGCACCCTTTATAAACTCCATTCTCCCTCTCCACCGGGCTGAATTATTACACCTTCCATGGTCCCTGATTTTCAAGCCCTCATAGTTTCATGCCTAGACCTCAAGCCTTGTTCTCTGGATTATTGACCTCACTCCTGCCTTCTGGATTACCAGTTTTTGCCTGCTCCTCATCTGGTTCTGTTCTGCCTCCCTGACCACGGTAACGACCTCCTCTTCAGTCTATGACCTCGACTCATGGATCACCCTTTTGGATTGCCCTTTGGACCACAAACTTTCATTGCCCCACTGTTCATAGCATTAAAGGCCTCCCTCTGCAGCTACCAGCAGCCTTATTAATAAAAACTGTTAATTTTTGCACCCCTGTGTCTGGCTTATATTGAATCCAAAAACCTTGGTTCGTGACAGGTTAACTGGTCATCATTAACTTCATGCAGACTCTCCCACTCGTACATTTTCATCTTTAAATCACTTCCTGGTCTGCTGATTTTATAAATCTCCTCCTACATGTCACTGCATGAGTGCAGCTACAGCGTGCGCTCTCAGGACATTATTACATGCAGTGTTCCCTCAGTGAGGACTGAACTAGGCAAAAGGGCCTTCTCCTACTCTGCTCCTGCTTCCTGAAATATCTTGCAAAAATATTTAAAGCTCTTGACCTTGATCTCTCTAAGTGGCTTTAAATATCTAAGTTCCTGGTAAAAACCAATGCAGACAATTTATTAAGTTTTCTACACCGCCTTACGACTCTAGCTGTTTTTTATGCTACTTTCCCTTTTAATTATCCTTTTAATTACCATTTCATCTTCACTTGTTAAAATAATAATAATAATTTGTATGCATCCTTTATAATTGTCTATTGTTGTCGTTGTCCAATG